TAACAGATCGGTCTAGTAATTATATATGATACCTCTGGTTAGCTTTCGAGTGAACTTTTTTTTTTTGATTTTCCTGCCGGAGGCAGCCATGTCCACACAGTTAGTCCATGGAACACATGTCCCCTGCTTCAATCTTTGGGGGATATGTTAAAACAACTATGCCCGCCAAGTACTGGGTCGCCGGGAATCCCGGCGGCTAGGGAATTTTTTGCGGGATTTATAGCTATTCTAGTCGGTAGAGTTACTATACAGATGGAAATCTTTTTAAAATGGTATCTCCACGAGGTCTGCAACCTTATTGCCCCAATAGCAACTGTATTCTCGAAACTAAATAGTTCTATTAGTAGCAAATCGAGCGAAACATTCGGAGGCTTTATTGTTAGTATAACAGTAATTGATTTCTAAATTTCGGCGAGTTTTTAACGAAGTAAGTACAGGCGGACCACCACACCAGCGCTTCATATGAAAAGATGGGTTAGACTAAACATAACCGTTTAGATGCTGTGTATAATCCTCGATTTTATAGAATAGGGTATACATTGGTATAATCCCAAAAAGGCTCTAGACCTAAAATATGAATACTAAAAACCATTAGTTTCTATTTCTACATTGCTAAATAATTTTTATAAAATTTAGAGGATTGTATGGGGCTTACTAAACCGAAGTCACAAGGGTTTAATCCTGAAAGTGGAAGCGTAGGGGATATCATATTTTTGTACGTTAAAAGCTTTAATCAGTCAATGAAAGCCGGCTGTACAACATTTTCAATTGTGTGTAAAGTAAAGCACTCGTAAAATGTCCGGCAAGAAACTAAGCTCGGGTCTGATGCGAGCCTTTGCGCCATAAACAAATAGAAATGAAGAGTGTAGTTATTGCCGAAATTCCATACAAGGCTTAGAAGATGTCTATCAAGTAAGTCTTCAGGGCGTCGGTCGACAGCGTAATTCTGGAACTTCAGTCAGTACATCCAACAAAGGGCAGGCAGGCAAGCGTATTCTCTCAAGCTTCGTAGTCCTTGACAAAGGACACATGTTAGTATTTAGAAATATGTTAAAGTTAATATCTCAGTTTCCACTAAGCCGTTTTCCCCACATATGATGAGAACAAGGTAAATTGCCAAACATTTTTAAAGCAGAAAATTAGGCCGCACGGTGTGGAAAATTAACTTTTATTAATAGTACTTTAAAGCTTTTCAGATGGAAAATACAGGAAAGTACCTTATAAAATTTAAAAGGTGGTTTTAATTTTTTTTTTTGAAAATCACATTTTAATTTTTTTATGTTCGTTACATGCTGGGGTTATGTGAAAAAAAAAATAAATAAATAATAAAACTTGAACCGTTGAAGGCTCATTGTAACAAAAAATGCATTCATCATAAAAACATATACCAAAAGTAAAAGTTTTGATTTCTTCAGCCGAAAAAGGCATATGAACTTTGAAAAAAAATTTCGAGTGTGTTTTTAGGCTCTCGCAGCAATAGAAATGTATAGAAACACATGTTCAAAACTTTTCAAAAAGGAACAAATTAAATCCCCCTATTTTTTAAGGCAATTTTAAAGCCGAAGGTAGCTTTTATTCAACGAAACCATTTTTCCCAAATTCTCCGTATTCAAATATTTGAAATAATGGTAGATTTACTTTGTTATCTACTTTCGTTTACAAGATATTGGATTTTGTCACAACACAAGTTAATTTTCCACACTAAGCGCCATTAATCTACATACGTACATATGTAGGTATGTGGAGAAATTAAGTTAGGTAAAAATTACCGTAACGGGAGCATTTTAATACGTAGCGATGTCAATCAAGGCTTCCTTAACATTTGAGCCAGAAAGGTAACGGCCTCTATCTATTCTCACAGAACCTGAACCATTGCACGAAGTAGGTCGAAACACGATCAGGGTAGAGAGTTCAAGAAAGAGATCACAGGAATGTGAGAGCGTCAACGACGTAGCAAAACAGGGCTAGCGGTTTCTAATTAACCTCGCTAAAGAAACCATCCACCGACGTAAAATCGTAGACCGTGTCAAGGGACCGTTATATGGGATTTTCGTGTTAACGACGACGATGACGTTGTCGTTGCTTCTCTCCCTCTCTATTAACAGCAATTTGATATGTGGATACGGACGGCAAGTGCGGCAGGGCGCTCCGTTGGTGGCTGATTGAACCATAAGTATTATAACAGGGCACTACAAGCTATTAAGCCATGTTCATAAAGAAACACAAGTGCACCTACATATTTCTTGGATGTGGGGCTGTTTCTAGAAGGCGAGCCACGATCTAGGCTCAATGTGTCCAAAGAGTTTACATGTACACTCCCTACGTCCAAAAGCTCCCCCAAACTTTCTGGAGAATTTAAATTTAGATAAAGTGTTGTAAAGAATAGACGTACATTAGGTCGCAGTGCATATCTCCTTTTAAAATCTATCCTAGGGGCGCAAGTACTTCATTTCACAAAAAACAGGCTTTAAAAATATCGAGTAAAATGTTTTGACATCGAATGAGAAATGAATCGATATGTTATCGTATCGTGTCGACATTTGTGTTCCTATACAAACTTTTAGTATTCTTCCGCCAGCACTAATGCTGGTCATAATAATTAAAAAAAAAACAGCTGCAGCGGTTTTTAAACTGTACGCCCAATCAATTTTACTCTTTACTCTATGTACTATGCAAATGCATGTACATACATACAAACATAGTTTTTTTTTCATTACGAAAGGTTATACGAGTAAATCTACTCCTTTGGTTGTTAAAACCAATATTTGTTGGCAAATGTCGATTTTGTAGAGTTCATCGTTTAAAATTATGTGCAAAGAAAACACCATACTAGGGTGGTCCTTCAAATATCAACATCTTGGTGCACATGCTTATTTTTTTGCGTTCAAAATAAAAACATGTGCGAACATTTCAAAATTTTAAATAAAATTTCTAGGGGTTTGAAAAAATTTAATTTTTTTTCCTCGCAAAAATTCGACACAATTTTGACTTTGATTGGCTGTAACTGAGCGAGTTTACGAAATTAATATGAATCAAATTTATCAAATTTCAAGTCAAAATTTTATAGTTTTTTCGATTTATAAAAAATTTATTTTTTCAAAACCCTGCTAGTGACCTCTAAATATGTAATTAAAGTTTTGAAATTTTCGTGGATGTCTTGATTTTGTACGCAAATATTAGTATTTTATGGACCGCCCTAATAATTATACTGTAACTTTCCTACAATTAAACATACATACATACATAAATCCATACATACATACATAAATCCATCCATACATTGGTACATACCTACATTTGTGTCGTTATTATTTAAAAATTGCAAAATGATAGAAATAACATAGAAATACACCAATAATTAAAACAAATCGAAAAAGTAGTGCGCAAAGTTATTTATTTTGCAGGCAAAAAGAACCAAACACAATGCGCGTGAAGGAAATTTCTACGAAATACAAATGTATTTGTATGTACTTTGTTTCGCATAAAAAAATTATTTCATTGAATAAAAAGCAGTTAAACTTAAAAAAATTTAGAACATATTTGCATACATACTTACATTTGTGCAATCAGCTTATGAAACAATTTGTAAAAAAGAGAATAAATAGTATAAATGTGTACGAAGCGAACAAGTTTTTGTGAAAACTGAAAATAACTACGTCCATAATAAAACTTTAATAAATTTTAATGCAATAACCGAAATAAGAAAATGCATATACAACACATATAACCTTTTGTAAATATTTATAACATGAATAAATAAATACATATTACATACAACAAAAGCATACATTATATGTTAGAAATATAAATATGGAATACGAAATTGTTAGTGAAATACACAAACAAAGAATAGTTACACAGAATACAAAACTTAATTGTATAATTAAATAGTATGCTCAAAGCGATATATTGCCGGAATATGTAAAAATATCCATACATTTGAAGGTGTCGCATAAACACGAGCACATATGTACATATGTATGTATTTAGGTTTTCCAGCCCTTAATACTGAGAGCTTCAGAGGAATTAAAAACCAGATTTCTGTGGATAAACATACATACGTATAACAACAATTTTTTTTTTAATTTTTGCCAAGGAAATTATTGTTTATGTAAATCAAAACAATAAACTGATTTCTCGAAAAAAATATTTTTAAAACGACGACTGTTTTTATATGTAGTACTTTCATTCATTTACAGAACTTATGTACACTTACATACAGTAAGTCATATAATT